TTTAGTAACAAAGACTCACACAACAAGAAAGTTATAAATGCTCATATCACAGACATCTTAAACAATCAAGTAATTGAAAGGCAAATTGAAAGGTTTAATAATTTTTTTTTTTTACATTTTAATGTCAAGAATATACCCTAGTATACGGATGACCAATGAGGATGATAATATACTCCTGAACCTTTACGGTTTGTTTTTTTACGTATACGTACGTATCCCTACACAAATATCAAGGTGCACAGTCATACAATCAGAAATTAGGCACACAATTCTGGGTGCACGAAAGTGCAGATATTCACCCAATATTTCCATCCCTGCAAGTGCATGACTGTACTTTTTGGTGGTCTATGGTTTTGCTGGTTTCTCTTTAACAAGTCTGTTGCTGGTGTTTCCTTACTTTCCACGCATGTTTTCCTGTGAGCCAGCATTCATTTTCACGTGCGTGATCCCGGCCATTCCATGTCATTTTCAGGTGTGTGGTTTTGCTGGTTTCTCTCGTACTTTTGCTGCTGTTTCCTCATTTTCCACGCATGTCTTCCTGTGAGCCTGCCTTCATTTTCATGTGCCTGATCCTGACCATTCCATGTCATGCTCTGCTCTGTGTCTTACTGGTGGCTGTCTTGCTGTAGGTTGTGTTGCAACTAGAATACAGATGATCCATGCTCACACATTGGTTTGCAGTGTGTGTGGAAGAAAAAGATCCACCTTGCTGCATATGAGTGCACATGAAACTGCTTCAGCATGATTTTGGATGTCCCAAGTTTGCCTGTCAACAAACTATGCATGGATTTTGTATCTTGGATGTCTTTTTCTCTCACAGCCTTAAAAGGCACTTCAAATGCCTTTCCTCTGGTGTTTGGAACCAGCATTTTGCTGCACTATATCTGTAGTACATTGTAGTTACTGCTTGTAATGATGTGATGTTTTTGTGAATGTTGTATGTAGTTTGTGTGTGATGAACTTTCCTGCCTATACATGCTGTGATTTTCCATCTCATCTGCTTTTCAGCCATGTGTATTTGTTGTGTGATTTTCACACGACAGAGGCTTGATGGTGCAAATTTGTTTTGCTGCATGGCAGGAACACAGTTCCTCAAACAACTGGATGGATTTTGAGAACAAAAAGCAGTGCATGGATGCTACTTGAAACGTCGATGAAGGTTACTAGCTAAAACGTCTGACGTTTTCAAATTCATATCCAGTTGCTTGAGTAACTGCTTTTTGGCATCAGAATCTGTCCAGCTGCTTGAGTAACTGTTTTCTTGAACGTGTATCTCATTACCTGGATGTCTAACCTACATCGACGTTTCTCTGTTCATGGCTTGTCATGAGTTAATCTCCAAGCAGATCTTTCAGTGGCAAGACAGTATCCATTGGCCAGAGGAGTGTCCATTAGCCACTTTGGTTGGGAAATGGATACAGGACGGCCAATGGATACAGGATGGCCAATAAATACAGGATGGCCAATGGATACGGCCTTTTGCCACCCAACCGAAAGATCTGCTTGGAGATTATTAGTGAGTTTGGTGTGTGCGTTGTTTGGTGCATGACCGACCAGGATGTTTTTTCTCCCTCCCGTTTGCAGTTTTTACAAGGGCACGCTCCCGCGGTTGAGTCGCGTGTGTTTGGACGTCGCGTTGGTCTTCGTTATTTACGAGGAGGTGGTGAAGATGCTAAACGTGGTTTGGAAGACGGAGTAACGCCGCGACGGGGGCGTTTTCGTGCTTCCCGCGACAACAACTTTCATCTGTTATGCTGTGTGGTCTTTCATGCACTTCCAGTAACCTCTATTAACATTTATCCACCAGATAGTATAATTATATATTAGAAGAAAAACTTTATTGCACGACAATTGCACATGGTACAATGTATGGCAAACTACATAAAGGAAATAACAAACAATAAAATAATGTGTATAATAAAACAATAAAATGTGTTAAATAAGACTAATGTCGAATAAAACCTAACATATCTTAATAATAAATATATCTGCCACTTTGAAAAACAGTGTGTTTGAGAGATCTTTATTGCAGCAACCCCAGGTATGCACAGTTTAGATATACAGGAGTGCAGTATCATCATGTGCAGAAGTGCAGTATACTGGGGGATGTTACATTGGAGATCTGTTTACTAGATGCATTTTTCAGGGTGGCAGATGAATGTGAACTGGTGGATTTATGTTTGTTAATAGATGTTAACATTTTACTGAAGATTCATTTGGCATGGATGTTTTTATGAATGCGTGGAAATCCACGTCGTGAAAATCAGCCATGAAAGTGACCACAACAGCATGGTTTGTATAACTTACACCTTTTTAATCATCGACTTTTAGATTTTTTTCTACTTAATTTTTTTTTTTTTTGGCTCATTGCTATGAAATTAAAAAAGATATAGATATATATTAACATAGAAAAAAATTAATCAAATTTAGAAAAATTTAATAGTAATTGTTAAGGCAAGGTTGTTGTGTACAAATTTTTTCTATAATCTTGAAAATCATGAAAAAGGAAAAAAAACACTAATGGGCATTCTTGTATGTTTAAAGGAATAATGGAAAACTCCATTTTTTGTTGTAGTTAAGATTAAGGGCTGACAATTTAAGAAATTATTAATATGCATTAATGATGTGTTTAATATAATTAGGATACTTATAATAAACTTAAGGTTTAAGTAGTTATGTTTTTTTGAAGGTCCACTAGCAAGCTTGCTCTCCAAGAACCAAAGCCTAAAAAGGCTGGGCTCTACGATATGTATATAGTATTACGTACATGTAGCTATATATGGGAGTGGACTATGGCCTAAAAAGGCTGGGCTCCAGACTAAAGGCCCACTGATAGTCTCCATTCACCATAATAATTCAGGGCTAGAAATTCATTTTGGGGAATAGGTGCACTGGTGCACCCAACCTAAAAATTGGGTGCACCAAAGATTTTTTGGGTGCACCATATAAAATAGAATACCTACTTGTAGTACAAAATTTATGTCAGCAATAACTAATTATGTTTCATTTCAAAAGAAAAGTAGTACAACAATGATTTTATTATTTTTCATGGTCAACCTCCCTGATACTATACATTCAGCTTTAACATCTTTAACATTACATAATTATGTAAACCTACAAATATATTTGGGTGCACAGGTGCACCCACTGAAAAAAATTGGGTGCACAGCTCCAAATTTGGGTGCACTAAGGTGCACATACACCCAGTATTTCCAGCCCTGTAATCCCATGTACAGATAAGTTTCTAGGCATAATTATAAACTGTAATGCATAGAATCAATGGAAATAGTAGGCTACACTAAAATGTAGGCCTGGTGCAAGTATTTTTTACATTCTGTGATATTTTAGATGTTTTAACCCTTTTTCTGCTGGATGATCCTGTGACCAGTACAGATGTTGTGCCAAAAGGCTGACTCGGCAGAATCAGGTTAAAGCTTTGTAAAAATGTGCAATAGAAGGTAGATCAAAATGTACAATTATTATTAGATATATGTAATATTAATATTCTCCATGAATAATCAGGATTTGAACATGGATACATGTCGTGAAAAGTGGTGGTTAGATTTTTAAGGTTTTAAATTTTATCAGAATTTCTGTATAATCAGAATTTTCGTGTGAATCATCCAAAGAAACTGTTATATGCTTCCTAGTTTCTGCTGAACATATCTGAAGTGTGGAAATGTTGGGTGGAAAGTAGACAGAAGGTGCACAAGAAAAAAAAAGAAAGTACACACAATGTATTTCTTGTAAACTCCTGATTTCATAGAAAGTGTCAGAAAATGCAGTAGTTTTCATGTAAATCCTTGATGTTTCTATCTCAGTGTATACCTACTGGTCTTTCCTGGGTGTGGGGGGATGGAGGGGGGTGGTTGTGGGAGGGGGTTAGTTGTGGGGGGGGCAGTTGTTGAAAGAGGGGGGCCATTGTCTCAGGGTGTCGGGTCCAATATGTGTAAACTAAGGCCACGCCAAGTTAGTCCCTTGGTTCTCAGAAATTTGAATGCGACCATATGAAAGATCCAGAGGACATGAAAGTGTGTAATATGTCTCTAATTTTTCTGTTTTAATGTTGATTTTGCAGTTCAGAATTGTTTGTGATGTATGAGAACCAGTGAAGTAACTTGGTGTGCCCTTCAGACATGTTCTAGTGTGTTATACCAGAGCACCGATGCAGCAAAAAGGCCCAACTTTACTGTCTTTCACACCTACAGATGTCTGCTACTGTTAGGTGCTGCTGACTTTAAGTGCTATGCACAATTATAGATTACAGGTTTCACACAAAGCCAGTGTGTTCTGAAACGTGCTACCTTTTGTACATTTTACATTCCAAACAAACAATCTTTGCCTGCTTTTCTTCACTGTTTGGAATCTTGAAACTTTGTAAAATGTCCCTTCACAAATTCAAAGTTAAAGAAACCTCATATTCTGCAGAATAAAGATGTAAGATTGTGCAGTGAAGGATTTCAAACTCAAAAAACTGCTTCCATTTATCCAAACACTGGCATGGGGAAAAACTTTGATACTGGAAAATTCTCTCTCCTGCTCTCTTTGAGATCAGAGTATTTCATACTGGTGTATAACGTTACATTTTATTCTTGTGGTTATTGTACTTGTGAGATTGTGATAATTGACCTGCAGTTCTGATGTGGAAAAAGAAATCCGTCACCAATTTGTCAAGCACCATGCCATAGTACAACAGTTACTGGTCTACTACAGATCTCTGATGTGCCAACGTTACTAAATTGTAGTATAGAAACACTCCAGTGTGCTTTCAAGGCAACCTCTGACCATAGATGGATGCACCTTCTTCCCGAGAAATATGAAATAACTGTTGAAACATTAGTGATGCTGAAGAAGAGTGGTGGATGTCACTCGAAACGTCCGGATATTATCTCAGTAATTTATCCAGTAGTAGAGTTTTAAAATCTCTTGTGAGTGTCCAGGAGATTGTTCTTGGTCGATCAAGTGTGTTTTGTGAGCAGTGTTTGTTGTAATGCCATGTTTAGAGTTATTCTGAATGTCCTAATCATCATATATAAGAAGTTTTAGTGGGCACTATACAAAATATTATTATGTGCCTGCCTATTGTAACAGAGTGTGATTTTGAGTGACAGACAGAGTGGTGATGTCACGACCAATCAGAAAGCTGTATGTTACAACCAATCAGACAGCTGCTTCAGGGAATGAAGCCAGCTCATTGGTTCAAACTTCTTAGATGATCTCTTTATTCACTGAGTAAGATTTAAGCAATATTCTGTGGCACAATACATTCCTTTCCTTGTACTGCATGTAGATTAAGTTTTATACAACTTTCTTTTGAAAATGCTGTAAGATAAAATTCACAATTTGCACTTTTCACTCCTTCAAGAATGGGCTTTCTTGCTTCCTGCTGCTGAGGACATTGTAGAATAGAAAATTGAAGAAAAATAAAAAAATCATGTATTATATAGCAAATAAAATAAATAATAATCTATGTGGTATTTTTGTAGGTACTTTGTAATGTTCCAGTGGAAGATGAAGTTTTGTGTCGTCTTGTCTGTAACTGGCAAATAAATGGAGTCTGGAGGTGTACTGTTGTCGTCCTGTTCTCGTGTGGAAGTTGTACTGATTTTGTCTGATTTTTGTATACTTACTTACTTACTGATTTTTGTATGGCCTGTAAAATTTCTTTTGTTAGTTTTGGGTGGAAAAGTAAGACCAATAATGGATTATGCCACCTGTTGCTGCCACACTGTCCTTGATTCAAGACTGCTCAGGCTCGGTTCTGGATAGTCCACACACACATCCATCCAGGTCGATTCCAGGACCTTGCCAGGGGCCAAATCTACGTTCCTGGATATGCAGAGACTATCCAGAACTGAGCCTTGGCCAAATCTACGTTCTTGGATACATGGAGACTATCCAGAACCGTGCTACATCTAGAACCAAGCTCAGGCACAGTCCTGAATAGTCCACACGTATCCAGAACTGTGCCTAGTTTTACATTTTTGGATACGCGGATAATATCCATAACCGTGCCTGATCCTAACCGTAACGCATTCAGGCATAGAACTAGATAGTCACAGTTCTGGATACAATAGAGACAATCCAGAACCATGCCTGATCCTAACCCATTCAGGCATAGATCTAGTTACTAAAAAAACATATATAGGCACGGTTCTAGATACAAAACCCCCTGTACCCATCCCAAACCTAACCATCTCCCTGACACCCCCCTTACCTGATACCCCCCTTACCTGACACCCCCTCCTTCTACCCCCCAGGTTCTACAAGGGGATCCAGCCACGGCTGCTCCGATCATCGTCAGAAGTCGCCCTCGCTTTCGCCATGTACGATGAACTGGTGCCGCTGTTGAACAGAATATGG